CCCCGCCTCCAATACCGTCTTTAAATCAACAGCGTAGACCGACACCGTATGACGAAGTCCTTGATCATTGGGTATTACTACACTCGTCACATGCAAAAGGAGTGAAAGTTCATAGATTAAAAGGCCATGTTCATGTCTTATTGAGGATGGGGGAGTCTTCGATTACGATGTATATAGGCAAGACAAAAAGGTAAGTGCGGATGCAACGTTTTGAAGAAACTTCCCGTTTCTTTCTCTTATTCTTTGCCATCACCTATAATGCGCCAAGATAGTATAAGAGGGATAAATTTAGAGTGTGTAGATTGTATATAGATTGAACGTTCGCCAGCCCCTGCGAGAACTAAAGTGTCTGGACACTGACTATGTAAATCTATGCCTGAGGAGAGTAAAGTTGAAAGTACATGTTTTCCTGCGGATGTGCTATGGATTTTGGCCCATAAACTAAATCAAAGACAAAGGAAAAAAAACCCCCCGATCGAGAAGAGTACTGCAGATTTGTGTTGCTTGAACAGTCTACCGCTGATTTGGAGAGTAGTAGGTAGTAGTAGTAGACTTGGCTACACCTCTCATCACGTATGCCTAGGCGTAAGCTTAACATCCAGCTTACCGACAGTCACAGTGAAGCAGTCGCGGGTCTTCTTTCTAACCGCGCTTCCATCTTCGCCGTCTGCAAACGCAAACTCAAACGATCGCACCAGGTTCGCGACGACGGAGCGCATTTCTATCATAGCCAGCTTCTGTCCGATGCAGTTGTAGGGCCCGGTGCTGAAGGGGAGAAACGTGCGCTTGTCCATGACCGAGGTGGGGCTTTCGGAGAACCAGCGTTCCGGCATAAAGTCGAGAGGCTTCTCCCAGTAGCGTGGGTCGCGTTGGATGGTGTAGGTTGGTACCTGTACGATGACTTTTCCGGGAATGTAAGTTCCATCGGGGAGAGTAAGTCCCTCGCGGGGTGTTTCGCGCAAAAGGCCAGAGGGGACCGCCGGGTGAAGTCGTAGAGTTTCCTGGATGACACCGTTGAGATATTCGCATTCTGGAAGATCATTGACGTCGAGATGAGCTTTTCCGGGGTTGATGGCATCAATCTCTTCGCGAAGTTTGGCTTGAATGTCTTGCTTGGAACAGAGTTCACAGACGAGGAAGGACAGTGTTGCCGCTGTTGTGTCGCTGTCATGAATGTCAGTACCGATACCCGGAGTTATTTTCCCAACCGAACACAATGTAATTGTGCATGTATGCAGCAAGTCTTTTTGACGTCTTGTTGGGAGATTGGGATTTGGGCCACCACATACCTGCCGGCTACGATCAAAAGCCGAGAATCAGTGATCATGTCACGTGTGACTTGATCGTCACCTTCCTTCAGCAGTGATGCGAAAACGTCTTTCTCTTTTGGTGTAGTCTAGCCTTTGTTAGACACCTTCAAACCACTGGGGAAAATGTTTGTCTCCTTACCTTGATGCGCTCCTCGAGTACCTTGCGACTCCACTCTAAGTGGTCAACTAGTGGCTTAGCACCAGTGCTAGTTCTCAATGCAAGTACCAACGCCCAAGGGATATGGCTACCCACGCTGAGCGGCACCATGCTATCATGAAGTAACTTGATAATCTCATCTTCTTTACCCTTTTCAAGCATACCAAAGCTGCGATTAAATCCCACGTCGCCCATGACATCGAAGCTGTAAAAGTTGAGCCAATTGGTGATTCTTACTGGGCCTTTTGACGATTCCTCTTTAAGTCTTGATATCAGAGTAAGAGCATGTCGATTGAGGCGAGGCTCGTAGTCGCGCAAAGCCTTTGCGTTGAAGGCGTGATCCCAGATCTTGCGCCGCTGACGGTGCTCCATCTTGTCCTGTGTTGTCTGCAGCGAATCCCCAGAGGCTTCCCTACTGATTCCATAGAAGGATTCAGCCTTGACGCATTTGGACATGGGACCATGAATGAGTGGAACGGCATCAGCCGAGTAGACTGTGACCTCTCTTGGACCAGTCCGAATCACGTCTGACTTATACTTTTGGTAGAGTTCCTCCTGCCACTCAAAATATCGGGCTCCAGTACGGAAGACGCCGGTATAGACTCCATATGCCTTGGAGAGCCGTGCTCCAAAAGGACCTGGGAACTAGGGCCTCTCAGTGCCAAGACCGAGAACCAGAGTGGAAAGACGATGTTAAACGAAAAAGAAAAAGAAACATTCAACTATTGCGTGCAGACATACCTTTCGAAGACGATGGAAGAATCCACGATAAATCAAGATGCTAGCAGTCAGAACGCTAAAGTATACTGATGCTACCGTGGCTGTGATCTGCACTGTGGCTGCTATACTCCCGGCATGCTGACCAGTCGTGTATATGATAGCTGCTAAACCCGCAAAGGCTAGAGCCCACCCGCGTAAGACCAAGTAGAATGCGATGGTGAAGTCAAAGATATGAAGAAGATAGTGTGTGATCAGTGCGAGGTAAACAATGACTGGTTTGCTCTGCAGAAGGTCGCCAAGAGCGCTGAAAGTAGATGACATGGTCACCATGATGGAGAGGAACTGAGATGGTGGGTAAAGATGATGGAAACCTAGCCACGGCTTGGGCAGTGATAAGACGGATGAGATGGTCTTCACCGGATTGATTTCATCCGGTTATGGAGTTGTGAGGCTGCAGAGTGATGAGAGACAGAGTAGGCGAGGCTCTCAGGTCTTGGAAGGATATAGCCAGATACAGCACGACTTGTGCCTTCAGCTCGGTCCAGGTGAAAGGCGGTAGCTGCTAGGTGGTCGCTGTTGGGTGGGCATACAGCGGCATATGCAAGAATTTCGTTGTAGTGAACGGGCCCACTCAAGCATCGGACTTACTCGTCCCCCCTTACTCGTCCTATATTACATACGACAGTCACGAGATATTTCTGGCATGTCTCAGGACTCCCTGTGGCTATCAGTGACCCACACCAAGCACCAGGGATCACACAGTAGAGAGAAACCGCGACAACCCCACATCAAAAAACTTGATACGCTTCGGGCCTCGGTAACCCACTCTTAGCAGTGTATTTGTACCCAAAAGGGGAATAGCGTGGCTAGAAGAGTGAGAATCAAGCTGTTTTTTATGAGGGGGTGGCGCTACGTGGCTCCGAATCCGACTTAATGCATCCGATCTCGTTATCATGGCGATTGTCCGTTCTCCGTTCTCGAACTGCGACGGAAGGCCAAGATTTTGTATTCAGCTAACTAGAGATAGGATAGTTTAATTATTAGTATAGTTTAGCTGTTTTCGTTTAAGCTAGTAAGTGTTACAAGTAACAAGAAGGATTCTCTCTTTGACAAGTGGTTTAACTTCCGTTGAGCACGTACATTGTGTTGCATACTACTATGTATTTTCTCCAATAAGTGAGGGATAAAGATAGCCGAAAAAGCTCCTGGGTATTGTTTGAAGTCAGCGGCTCCACAAACAAAACATGCCGATAACCGAAATAGTACCCGCCCAATCACAGTAGCCCTATAGACAACCGGAAATCTCAAAAATACGTCGGATTTGTTGCCGCCATGCCCTAGTCAACTTTTCCTCGCTTGATTGCAGCTTTCCGCTGTATTTGTTGTTTTTGTGGTTGTTGTCGCCGTCGTCGTCGTGTTTGCTGTCATCACTATGAAGCAGGTCGTTTCGGGACAGCTCGCAATAGATGGACGTTCTTTCCTGCGTGATGACCTGATAATTGATCCTAAAGTCAAATCTTGGCATGCAGAAGGAGTCGGACCGACCGTGTCGCCGGAAGCCTTTTGGTGCGAGCATTTGCTGTCTCATGAGAGACATTGTGTCTGCCATCCTGCAGATTTCCGGCCGATCGAGACTCCAATATATTTCCAAGCACTCGAGGTTCTCCACTTTGAACAGCGGTTGGACCCAGGGAGCCACCCATGGGCGCGAAGCAGTCGTCCGTTGCGCCTCCCACTTGATACAATCTGTAGGGGATGGGAACACTGGCCTATAGAACTGATGTAAACTGTCGATAACAAGGGTAAGTTTCCTCAACTGCATGCGTGGGCTCGAGAGCAAGGTACAGAGATTGGTAAAGTCGTTGTAAGCATACCGCAGTACAACCGAGTCTGTGGATCTGGCGACTATGGGATAATGGGCTTCAGTCGTGCCTCTTAAATTTGTCCCCTCTCCCAAGGTGATTTGCATGGATGAGATGAGATTGAGCGACTTGGCGGGCCGATCGCACAGGAACGCAAATGCCGTTGGGATACCCTCTACTGTCTTGAAACCGAATACATTTTTGGCGTAGAAGATATCTCGGGCTTCGTGATAAATTTGCTGGCAGGTTTGCAGCAGATGGATGCCGATTTGTTCACCAAATGGGAGACTGGATTGGCGTGTGATTTGATATGTCATCTGAACATGGCTTGGAGGGAGTTCGGGATCATCTTTGAAGGATGGTAGACCAATATCAAATCGTGGTATTGCCCAAACTCGGCGGTGGGAACGTATGTGTGTCAAGGGATATGACTGCCTAAGTTGTCTATAGAATTCGGGGCATTGCTTTGCCGTGATTTCAGGAACGGTGGCCGCGGCTCGTTCGATGAGTATGATGTCGCGCACCAGTACATATTCATAAATGAGGTCTCGAATCTCTCGTGGAACTTGAAGGAGTCGTGAAGTCATTCTTTGATGGCCTTTGGGTTTCGCAATGCTCTACACAGTGCTTAGTACAATGGCGGCGCGGAGAGTTATTCCATGCAGAGTGGTGACGTTATCGGTCTGATAGAGTATAGTTCGACGAGTCGGTGCACTAGCGTGAATCACCACTTCTCCTCTCTGCGGACCAAAATATCCGGATCAAAACCATCCCCACTAAAATAGTTATACGCCGGCAGCCTAGAATTACACAGTTCTTCCTTGTTGTATTGTAATAAAACGCTAAACCTCCGACATATGGAGCCTATTTTTTCTCACATACTTAAGTTGTGGTAGAGGCAGCTAATCTTCAATTTCGGCTATGTTTTAACAGGGGTCGATCTTAATTTAGTACCTAGCATTTTGACCTAGCACCGAGGGTCACCCACTGTATTGATGACTGTATGTCTGTGCTCGGCAGTTAGTGGCTGTGCATATACTTAGGGCTCCCAAGAGTATGATAAAATTAAATTCTTCTGACGATGGTTGAAGACGATGTCGAGTGCGTCTGGGCCATGTGCTCTCCCCTCCATCTCATCTCAACCAGATAATAGCATCTACACTCTAATAATTCCTGTTTTTCTGTTGGCAAATTGATTACTCTCCATTCTCAGTCTATAACCAAGTACCTACTAAAAATATTTTTCTTCTGAATCCAATTCCAAATTCACACGTGAATTCATATGCAGCATGCTCAATATCCCAATAACCCTTATGATCTCTCCAATCCACACGCGACATTCACTCAAGTCTAATCCCTCATCATACAACCTCAAAACCACAAGCCAACGCAACTTTGGCTTGCAACAGCAAAGATATTCATACAATTCAACACCTAGTATCACGTCCCATAATCACTACACAAATGCCTCCGCGGGTATAGATGACGTCAGATATAAAAACCTCTCCCAAAAGCCGTTCAGCCTAATAATAATAATAATAATAACATCCATATCCACATACATATCTCCCAAAACAACTCCGTCCACTATGCTTCTTCCCATCCCTGACTGCTCAAAATGACAACCCCAACCCCAACCCCAACCCCACCCCCCTTCCCCATCCTCATCTTCACAAAAACAACCTCCTACCGCCACACCTCCATCCCCTCAGGCCTGGCTCTCTTCCAGCGCCTCGCCTCGTACCACGCATCCCTCTCCGTAACCACAACCGAAGACTCATCCATCTTCACCCCCTCAGCGCTCCGCCCTTACCGCGCCATCATCCTCCTGCAAACCCTCGGTCCCGCCCTGCTTTCTGCCGACCAACTCTCCGCGTTCAGAGACTGGCTGCAGCGCGGTGGCGGCGTGGTAGCTATCCACGGTGCGGCAGCGGGGATGCCCGAGGATGCCTGGTGGGGAAAGATGATTGGTGCGAAGTTTCTTTCGCATCCGGATCCAGAAGTTGGATCGCTGGTTTTGGATTCAGCGGAGGTGGAGGAGCATTTTATATTGAGTGGGTGTGGGGGTAGGCAAGGGTGGAAAGATGAGTGGTATAATTTTCATGAGCATCCGAGGGAGAATGCGGGGTTGGAGGTTTTGCTGAGGGGGGATACGAAGACATTTTCAGGAGGGATGCATGGGGAGGATCATCCGTTGGTGTGGTGTCAAGAGTTTGAGGGGGGAAGAGTGTTTTTTACGGCGTTGGGGCATTTTGATGAGGCGTATGAGGACGAGTGGTTTAGTGGCATGGTGGAGAGGGGACTGTTTTGGGTTGCGAGGCGGGAAGGGGAATTGAAGAAGTAAGGATGTTGAAGGGAAAGATGCAACGAGACTTCGTTGTTTGCTTTCATCGAGCCGTACCGATCAAATTTTACACCGAAATTCAAATGACGCTTGCATACGCTTTCAAGAGACATTTTGTTCTAACGCCAAACTGTACGCTACCAAAAGAAAAGGCCGTATATCCAAGGACACAGCATTTTTGGGTTCCCATCCCAATTGTGAGTCAAATGTCCAATTCTATTCTTTTTCTTTTTCCTTCTCATCTTCTTTCTCCTCTTCCTTTGCCTTTTCCTTTTCAGGTTTAGGATTGAGGTCCCAGTCAATGCCCCCGTCTTTTCCATATCTCTGAATAAGCCATTCATTGCATTTAGTGAAATGCCCACAGTCAAACTACTTGTTGTCAGCACAATCATCATCCCATGGTATCACTAGGTACAAAACTTACGAATCCTCTCGCTGCACTTAGCGGGCTGGGGTGTACACTCTTGAGAACAAGATGCTTATCCACTGGGATGCCCTTTGTCCTCTGTTGGGCTGGAGTGCCCCAGGCCAAGAAGACGACACCGTTGGTTCGCACCTTTGCCACGGTGTCAATCACTTTTTGCATGAGCAATTCCCAGCCTTTGCCAGAATGCGAGTTTGCTTCGCCTCTGCGAACAGTCAAGCAGGTATTGATGAGCAACACGCCCCGCTCGGCCCAAGGAATCAGCAGTCCACCCTTGTTTGGCGGTGGCTGGTAGTCTGGGTATTCCTTCTTAAGGGCTTTGTAGATGTTCTGGAGCGAGGGTGGGGCGGGGTTCGGTGGACGGATGGAGAAGCAGAGGCCGTGGGCTTGGTTGGGGCCGTGATAAGGATCCTGGCCTGTGATGACAACCTTGACTGTGTTAAGCGGTGTGTGTCGCGACCTATACTTGCCTGTCAGTATGTGGAGTTTGAAAACTGGGGTTATCGAAGGATTGGTAGACGCACCATGAGTAAACGTCTTTCATTGGGGGATAGACCGTCTTGCCGCTCGCCAGCTCCTGCTTGAGGAAACGTTTCAGTTGCAGAAACTGGGGCGTTACAAGCACATCCTTCAGATGCGGGAGCCAGCTCTCGTGCATGGTATCGAGCTCAAGCTGCAGAAGGTCCTTCTGCTCATCGGTGAGTTTGGCAACCCAGGCATCTTTGTCAAACTTTGCAGCTGCAGCCGTCTGCTTGGGGGGTGCATTGGGGTCGGTTTTGGGTGGGCCGAAGAAGGCAGTAATGCTGCCGTTCTGCTTGGTCTTCTTGGACGCGTCGGTAGCTGCAGCGGCGGCTTTGCGTTTGAGACTCATTGCTGGTGTATGACTTGATGTGGGCTATGTGTAATGTATCACGAGAGTAAAGGGGCGTAGATTGGCATGTAAGCATCCCAATCAATTCACTCCCCAGCCGCAGATAGGCAGTCGCGTAACCCTGGGTGACGTCGAAGACTCGACTGCGGCTCTGATTGGTCGTCGCGAGACACGTGGGCACGTGAGTGCGCGAGACGCGTCGCCGTGCAGAGAACCATGACATCACAGCTCAGCTCACCACCATAGGATGGGAACAGGCGTCAAGTCTACGCCAGGCTGCCATCAAGCCACGGCTGCAAGCAGATGGAGAGCCTGTTTCTGGGCAAGTATATGCTAGTGCCGGAATAGCCAATGGTGGGGAGGGCTCCCGCTTTGGGCCCTCTCACCTGTGCCTACAAACCTGCTACCCGCAATTGTGACGTGATGCTGTGTGGGGAAAGCAATCAGACGGGCGTTTGAAGCATCAAAAGCAACAGGAACAAACGAGTACCAGTGTCTATATATCACCTGCTTCTCTCATCCGTCTCTCTCACTTCTCACACCATTCCCACCCGTTAGTTCAGACTCAAACTTCAACAACAACTTCACAATATCTTCAAAAATGGCCTCTTCCAACCCCGGAAACTTCGCCAACCTGCCCAAGGACGAGCTTAGGGAGATTGCTGCCAAGGGCGGTCATGCCTCTCACGGCTCCAACCACCACGACGTATGACAATCACTTTGATCCTTGTCGGTCGTTGATGTTCCCTTCACTAACTGCTCCTCCAGTCCTCCTCCAACGACCACCCTGACCGCAACCCCGACGGCACCTTCACAAAGGGCTCTGAGGTTGCCAAGGAGTTGGGTGCACAAGGCGGCCATGCCTCTCATGGCTCGGATGACACTGGTTCCCACGCTCACAAGGACTCTGGTGTAAGTTAGCAGAGAATCGCGGCAGGACTTCTTGACTGACTGCCTCGTAGCGCAACCCCGATGGAACCTTCAAGAAGGGCAGCGAGCTTGCTTCCGAGTTGGGAGCCCAGGGTGGACATACCTCGCACTAGAGTCCTACATGTCTGCCACTCAACGCTATGACTGCGAGTCTCCATTTACCCGTAATCTCAAATTCATGAATGACTACGAAATTATGATGATAGCATAAATCAAATCCACTTCACAAAGACTTGCATACTTTTTGCGTCACAACCAGTCTCGTCTTGGGAAAACAAATTCAAAAACAGCACACTTTCGTCATTTTCTATCATCGCACGTCATGCCTACTAACCTCCCCATCGTCCCCTCTGCTCAACCACTTCCCCCCCTTGCACTGCTCTCCCCCTACATGTTGTACTCCACCTCCCCTCTAACCAGAATAGCCAAGAGCATCCAGCTCCTTCTTGATCTGAACCTCGGTACTAATCTTCTTGATCTGAGTGTCCTCAAGCTTCTCTCCGCCTGCTTGCCTCATCTTCAGCTCTTCAATGGCACGCATCTTCTTGAGCAAGCCACGAATCTTCTTGTCCTGAGGGCCGCCGTCTCCGGGGCTAGTGACAGTGAGGTCGGGCGGAGGAGCATGGCCTTCCGTCTTGATTGGAGGAGCATGGCCAGCACCCTGTTGACCGGGGTTCTGTCGGCGATTACCCTCTTGCCTGGCCTGACGGTTGGGGCTGTTGCCATAATTGCGGGCTTGGCTAGCGCTCCTTCCGTGTTGCTCATATCCGCTCTTGCTGCGGCTGCGTTGGCGACGCTCTGGGCTACGACCGTCAGTGGCTCCATTAGAACCATTGGCACCGTCTACACCCAGACCAGCAGCCTTGTCAGCAGCTTCACGCGCCTTTTTAGCTTCGCGCTTCTTCTTGTTCTTCAAAGCGGCCTTGGAAAGCTCTCCGTCACCATCCTGAGCACCGGTAAGACTGACACCACCACCAGGGGCAGCACCGGGAGGAAGAGACTCGGCGGTGTCTGCACCAGGCACCTCACGACGACGTGGCTTGCCGAATCCATTGGCAAACCCAACGTTTGTCGACGAAACGCCAGTGTTGTGGAAGGCTGCACCTCCCTCGTCCTCACGCTTGAAGTGCAATGGAGTAGCTGTTCCACGCGCGCCAGGAGGACGGTAGGCACCAGCAGGCTTCGAAGGTGTCTTTTGAGTGCTGAGGTACGCCAGCGCTGACGAGTGCGGCGTTGGGACAGCAGTCAGGGGGTCCGCCAGCGGGTACATCGACGTCGGCTGGGGTCGCCAAACAACATGATACAGCTCCGTCATGTCCTCATTGTACATGAGGCCGCCGCTGACATGGTAGATACGAATGCCATTGTCAACTCGCAGACGCGGGCTAGTCGTTGCAGTGAGGATATGCTGGCCGTCCGGACTCCACTCGCAGTATGTGCAGTTGGATGTCTTGACGTGGCACACCTTGGCGAAATTCTTCTCCAAATCATAAATATCCATGTCTCCAGCAAGATTGCCGAAACCAGCGACAATGACAAAACGACCGTGGGGGCTGAACAGAATAGTGTTGCGTGGGCCCAAATCAAAGCTGTGCTGGGGGACTGCCCGCTGGTTGAAAATGGTCGTCTTTGCAGGCATGTAGCCGTAGGTAACACCAAACTCTTTCGAGTTGGGCGACCACGAGACATCATGAATAGGTCCCTCTTTATCCAACTGGATGCGCGAATCGAACGTGCCGTTGGCGCTAAGAATATACATGTTCGTCTCTCCGTAGTAGCTCTTGTTGGTCTTGTCAACCTCAGTCTGGGCTAGCACAATCAGGCTGGTACCAAGGTCGTTCCACTTGAGCTGAACCTTGTCACCCTTGAAGAAGGTCTTTTGCGATACAGGTTGGCTGAATTGAGGTACCGCAAACACCTTGACGGCAGCGGGCATGCCCTTGCGCTCCGGCACAAAAACTGCAACTGAATGGTTCTTACCGGGCGACAGGGCCATTTCCGTTACTCCCTCTACACGGAGCTTGTTCCAGGGGTTACGCAGATCACTCGATTGGAAGAACTGCACCTCGTTTGTCACAACGCGGGCGCAGAACTTTTCGTCGGATGTGTATTGCAGGTTCCAGCCATTCTGGTTCTTCTGAACGTATTCGCCAATCACTGCCCGCGATCCGTCATCTTCGGCTTCGTCGGAGAGCGTCTTCCAGACCCGGAGGTTCTTTGTCGCATTTCCGTCCCCGTCCTTGGAGGGCCGCTGCCATGTTATAAGGTAGGTGCCCAGTGGAGAGAAACCGAGCTCGTAGACGTTCGGTGTGGGGAGTGTGGTAACAATATGGCCGACGGAAGCGTCAATTACAGAGACCCTATGAAGGTTAGTCTATCTGTGCAGTCTAGATAGCCGCACACAAGCGCACAGATGTGGATTTGAAGGATGACGAATTGTTGGCGTCTCGAGAGACTCATCAATTGCTTTTCCATCATGTCATCTTCAATCCTCAATTCTAGTGTGCTCGTCTGCGATGCATATGATGTCTTGTGGCGCTTACTGATCAGGTGTAGCCCATGCGAAATACTTGCTGTCTGGCGAGTAGGCGCAGCAACGAAGGTTGCCTTCTGGGCGCACGAATCCGGGAAGCGGCTCGTAGACTGGAGCAGCATTGAAGAGCCCGATGCCCTTGGCGGAACGGTCTGTAAGCCAAAGGTGTTAGCGTGTTTCAACAGACAAAGTCTTGCTGTGTTGCTTTTGTTCTTTGGGGCTACGTACAAGCCAACTGTGTGGGAACAGCCATGATAACTAGTCAAAGTCACAGGAAGTCGTCCAAAAGCGGGCGTTGGGCAAGGTGCTGGTGGTCGCGAAGTCTGGCTCAAGGGCTTGAGCTGAGTGTGGTGTGTTGGCGATGTTGGTAAGACTAAGACAGGAACACGTCGGGTGTGGGTATGGGGGTTGAGAAGGTGACGTAGTTTCTGAGGCTCTTGGGGGCCAAGGGCAGACTTTGGGCGCACGCAGCGGCAACGGGTGGATCGAGAAGGAGAAAGGGAACACGCGCCAGAGAATTGAAGGGTGACCGTGTGACGAGCGTAGCTGGAGAGATGGACGACTGTCGAGAAAGAAATCCGTGGGCATGCGCGCTAGTGCTCGGGGAAAATGCGGGCCGTTGGTGGTCCTGCCTGGCTGTGTGACATCAGCCTCGCTGCGCCTTGCCACTCCTGAAGCTGAGGGTATTGATGGATACGAGTCTATCTGCGCTCGTTTAATAGTATAAGGATATTGAAGGCAAAAGACTATTTTGCCTCTAAACTCCATTTCGTCGTGTCTGCAGCAAACGAAGCGAGGTGCCATGATCTGCGTTCAGCTTCACAGCTGGGTGGGCCAGACTGCCATACTAGCACACTGCTCCTGCATGGAATTAACTTGCTTAACAAATGTCCACATCGATCGAGCAGCAAATCACCAGACACTCGGATTCACACCCACAACAAAAAGCAACATGTGAGTGTGGCGTCTGCACCGTCAATTATCACATGCAGAATCTCAAAGGTACCTGACCTGGGCTTATCGTTATCGCTTCAGTAGCGCCCTTTGACAAGCTCCCGCACGCGATCTCCATCCCAACTCCACCGACCCATCGCAGCTGCTGCTGTCTGCCGCTCTTTGAGCGCCCCGCTGTCAGGATGCCTCCCTCAATGCCTGCCCCGTCCATTCGCATACCGATAGAGCTGCTCACTCCTACAGCCTTTGCGCAGTTTGGTACTGTCATCGAGAATCCATCAACATCGCCGTCAGCAAAGCTACCCATTTCAAACCGCGTACAGGCGCCCGAAGCAGTGTCCGCCAATCAGGGCTCTGCGACAAAGTACCTCGATGTCACCCACATGTCAAATCTGTATACCCTTGCGCCCAGCAAAAAGCCGGCTCGAGCCGTCATGAACATGTTTGTTTGCTCACCGCGCAACTTGCGCCCGCACGAGCCGAGCATAAGCATGCCGAGCTCCTGGGGCGACTTGGACCTGGATGAGGACGAGGACAGAAATGACGACTGCCTCAAACAGCTGTTAGATGTCTCTATCCTCGAGCGCCACCCTTTTACCACACAAACGTTTATACCCATGGGTTTGGCGCAACACGACAAGCACACACAGTACCTTGTCATAGTTGCACCAACCCTCCCTGCGAGCGCGTCCAAGTATCGGACAGACAGGGCCCCGCCATATCCTGCGCCAGTTATGAAGGGAAATGGGAGTGTGTTCGACATATTCGGGCGAGGAAAACCAAGTCCCTCGGACGAGGGGACGTCCGCGCAAAGCCACTTTTCGCATCTGCATCCGTCTGCGCGACCCAAGGGACCCGGCCTCCCAGATCTCAAGAATGTCCGCGCCTTTGTTGCGACTGGAGCTCAAGCTGTGACTTATGGCGCCGGGACATGGCATGCACCTATGGTAGTCATTGGAGACCGGCCAATCGACTTTGTAGTTGTACAGTTCGCGAACGATGTAGGTAACGAAGACTGCCAAGAGATATTACTGAAGCCAGGTGAGACCGCTACAGAAGGCGTTGTGGTCACTGTCGACACCAATGCAGCAGGCACCGTACAAGTCCAGGCTGGCGTTGGCTCTGTAAAAGCAAAGTTGTGATGTATTCAGGTAGTTGATGTGGTGTTTTCTTACCAGTAATGAGGGATCAGTTTTCTCCGCGGGCTCTAATGATTCATTTATACCCGAAACCGAATGGGAAAAGCGCAATTGATGAAAATTCCACTTGTCATTTTATCACAGGTCGCACAATTTTGGGGCTAGTCTCATAGATTTGGACGTACATGCAAAACTTGCACTGTGTTAGCTACTCCGGAAGAAGTGTCTTTTCTCGTCCACTGGGCTATCCATCTCGCTTACTATCTTGTAATCAGGCCACCAATCTACCCTACCCACTCATATCATGCAGGCACATATGCTTGGAGTTAGAATCAGGCAGATCTATGAATACGGCCCCATTATCAGCCTTACTTATTGGCTAAATTGTTTCGAGCTCGCATGGGAATTATCATAAACGACTCCAGCCCACCACGTCTGGCCTATCTTCGTCTTCACTGTCCCACAACACAACAATGGAAGAAGTAGACGTGGTCGTCATCGGCGCAAGCATCAATGGCCTCACAGCTGCGCATACTTACCATCGCTTGCATCCCTCAGCTAAACTCCTCATCCTCGACTCTGCGCCCTCCATTGGCGGACCATGGGCCCCGGAGCGCGTTTTCCCAGGCCTAAAAACTAACAATCTATGGGGCATGTACGAGCATCCTGATTTTCCCATGCACCAAAAGCGCTTCGGCGTGAAGCGAGGGGCGCATATTGATGCGCCTAAAATGTACGAGTACCTCTGTGCGTTTGCAGAGTGGGCGGATATCAACCAATTTATCCGTCTGAATACGAGCGTCGAGGTACTCGAGCAAGAGCAGGGCGATGAAGAAAAGAGTTGGATATTGCATTGTGTGTCGTCAGCCTCGGCCGAAAAGAAAGAGACGGTGATACGAGCCCAGAAGGTCATTGTAGCAACAGGAAATACGAGCAAGCCCTTGCTCCCAACATACCCTATGTCGCCGACGTTCTCCTCGCCTGTCGTGCACACTCGGGATTTCCCAGCTCACTTTGCGGAAATCGTGAGACCGCAGACGCACACTGTGGTTGTGGGGTCCGGGAAATCAGCTTGGGATGTAGCCTACGCGTGTGCGACGCAGCCTTCTTCCTCAGCAACGCTCTTGATCCGACCAGGTGGGAATGGCCCCGTGTGGATGACACCCAGCCACGTGACGCCATTTGGAATGTGGTTGGAGAAACTGGTGCATACGCGGTTCTTCGGCTTCATGTCGCCTTGTCCGTGGGCAACGACAACGGGGGTAGAAGGCTGGCTGCGCTGGTTTTTGCACAAGACGTGGTTTGGCAGGAAGATCGTAGCAGGGTTCTGGTATGTACTTAGTGAAGACGCAGTTTCACTCAATAAACTCGACGCCCATCCCGAGACGAAGAAGCTGCGGCCCTGGAGAAGCGCCTTTGAAGTCGGAAATGCATTATCCATTCACAACTACCCCACCAGCTTCTTCGACCTCGTCCGCAACGGAAGAATCAACATCGTATTCGACGACGTCGCTGCTCTAAAGGACACCAACACCATCCACCTCAAATCCGGCACCACGCTTACTGCCAACGCCCTCGTCTGCGCCACAGGCTGGCAAAAAGCCCACACCTTCCGTTTCAACCCCACCTCCCTCGAACACGATCTCGGCCTGCCATGCCCTCCCACCCCCTCAGACCACCCCTTAATCACCGCATCCGAAACCACTCTCTTCACCGACTTCCCCTACCTAACCCAACGAAACGTAAATCGATCAGGCCACCCCGACCCCTTGCTGCGTGCTACACCGCAACCCCGTAATCTACAAACGCAACCATACCGTCTCTACCGCTTCATCGCACCGCCCCGTTCCCTCGCCCACCCCACCATCGCCTTCGCAGGCGCCGTCCACTGCCTCGGCACTTTTCCCTGCGCCTACATCCAATCCCTCTGGATCACTTCCTACTTGGACGGCACACTTGCATCCGCGCCCTCACCCTCCGAGCAAGACAGCGTGTTGAAAGAGGTGTATCGGAATACTCAGTACGGTGTGTATCGGGGCGCGATGAGTTATGGGTACATGTTGCCGGATCTGGTGTTTGATACTTTGCCTTATTTTGATGTTTTGCTCGCGGATTTGGGGTTGGTGGCGAGAAGGAAGGGAGGGGGGGTTAGGGAGTGGGTGGAAGGGTATGGGCCCGAAGATTATCGGGGGTTGTTGGACGAGGTGGAGGTGAGGAGGAGGAGGCGGGGGGAGGGTGTATGAGTGTATATTTTCTTTTACTTAATGGATGACTACATTATTTTAAATCCGGACCAATGTGATTGCTAGGTCAATCCCATGTGGGTGGTGGAGTTTGCTTTTGTCTTCGCTTGAAAGACATCGTGGGTTGAGGAGGTAATCATGTGCACACAGTTTTGTTTCAAAATAGCGAAAAGCGTGTGTGTGTGTGTGTGTGTGGGACTTGTTGACCGTGATACCACCAGGCAACCAATTCCCCTCGTACGATGTAACTATTCCTAGAAACCATTACGCAATTTCATGAAAACCCCCAGTGTCAGAATCACCGCTTCGCTCACACTGGCAACGCCTCCTTCTCCGCAAGCCTCCTCAGAACCATCCAGTGCACCAAATCTCTTGCCGCAAGTGCATCCTCAAAGCTATCATGTCCCTTGTTGCCTTGCGTCTGAATATCCCTGTTGATATACTTCTTCATCAACGTCTTGAGCGCCAAGTCGCCGGTTCCCTTGGTTCTCTTCTGCTTTGGCTGAGATGCTATTTGTGGAGATAGTTCTAGGTCTTGGATTTGCTCAGCTAGATCATCTGCTGAGGTTTCTGTAGTTACTGCGGCGGCGGCTGCTACTTCCGCCGCCTCCTTATCGGCCTTTTTCTTTGCTTGCACAATCCTGTGTTCAACCATATACGAGTCAATCACAGTTGGATGGATCCATTTCAGCACTCTTAGGTCATTGTTCAGACCGTGGCCGACCAACGCAGTATGTGGGCCGACAAATCTCCATAGTGCTTCTCTCGCGCCGGCCTTGCCCCTCAAAGAAGTCTTTTTCCTCTTGGCTTCGTTCAGCTGCAGAAATGTGACTCCAGAGAACTTTGTGTTGAGGTGTAGCATATGTTGGTCAGGCTGAACAAGGTTGTTGATGAGGACTTCGCCAGTCAGGTAATCAATGGCGGTCAGGCGAATGAGTTCACTATCTCCCGAGATGGCGGTTCCCATTTCGCAGTCAATAGCGACAGCAGCGCGGAATGACAGGCCTGCTGGATGGCATGTCGGCGTATAGTGGTATTGGTGTACACGGAGGAGTTCTCCAGGTGCATAGTTGCGTAATTCATGCACATGACTGTGGACGCAGGGCTTAGCTTCATATACAGGGACATCACAACAAGTGAAGCACTGGATGCGATTAGTGACGAGCTTCATCTCTTTGCCAATGATGCTTTTACCCTTGTAGCCCGTTCCATGGTCCCTGGGTGGTAGCTGCACTCTACTGCGCATTCTGTTGAATCATATCTACCTTTTCCCTTTGGTATCAGGATTGTGGGGAATGGGTCCCAGGACCTCTTTGGTGGGGGCGGAATTGGGTTGGCGCGCCGTAATTTTTGCTGCCTTCTTAGATCCTTTGTGAGATTGAACATTGCTGGGATTCGATTAGCAGCGTCAATGCATACCTCCAGTAACACGCAAGTGAGGTTTCTGGCACGTACTCTGGTTGCAGTCTTTGCATCTGGCTTTTCCTTTAAGGTCCGCCATTGTAAGCGGCTCCATAACGAAGCCATGTTTTCTCATCGTCTCTTCAGATTCCAGGAGGCTGAACAACTCAGCTGGGTAGTCGTCGCCGGGTGGGCACTCTAATGGCAGAGCTGGAGGCCCTTCATATGGTTCTGGAGGAGGTGGGCCAGATGGGCGTTGTTGATGGTTATGGGCCATGGTGGTGATTCTTGCGTTGCAGCCTTGCTCTGAGGATCAAGGCAAGAGATACGAGGCTCTTATAGGTGAACTCGCTTGGGCGTGCTAGTGATGCGCAGGAGGCGTTGATGTTAGTGGGAGATCGCCCTTTGGTAAGAATGTGTAAACGTCACACGTGACACAAAAGCAGTTAGTTGGGCAATGATCAACCCCAGGGATTACACCCTGACAGAGCCTTGCCACTAAGTAGCAAGTGATGCGAACGAACACTAGGGACAGATGATAGTGGTTGATGCAAGGAGAGGTGTCTTTGAGAGTGAGAATCTCTGCAAGGCTGAGGAATGAAGGATGAGGTCTCATTAGTGAAAGCGCTAAGCTACCCCAGCCTGTCTCACCTGATTAGCGCTTCAGCCCAACGTCCAACAGCTGAAGACGATGAAGCAAAGCAGTCAGTTTGCCCGTCTTCTACAATTGTCAGCAAACCTTCAAAATCACTTGGGCACGACACCTTGGCGTAGGCACGGTCTTCTTCTAGGTAGTATTCTCTCCTTCCATTTCAGGGGAAAACAACGGTTGCATATTCCACATGGCACCCTTGCTGTAATTCCTTCTTGCACAAAAAAGAATACATATAACTATCCGTTTCTCCATCCAAATTGAAATGCACGCTTTGCCCTTTCAAAAACACACTAGGGGTATTGTATTAATAATCATTCAACATCAAGAATCAAAAAAGTTCGTTAGCTCGTCATCTAAATCTTCAACTCATCAAGCTTAGCCTCCAGCTCACAGACCTCTTCCTTCGCTTTAGTGCCCTTCCTCTCCCTGTACTCCTTGGCCACCGCTTCCATGACCTTGCCCATCTGCGTATCCCTACCCTCTGCCTCAAGCTCCTTTTTGACCCTCGCAAAGTTTGCCTTGACAAAGACCTGGTACTCGCTTTTCTCCCTCTTGCCGTCTTGGCCTACAGCTGCTGCACCAGCACCAGCACCACGAGGCTTGGGTTTGGTCTGCGCAAGCCTTCCCTTGCACTTTCCGCATGAGTGACGTGTTGGGTCTACAGACTTTGAGTGGCGCTTGAACTCATAGCCGCACGCAATGCACTCCCAGACGTACTTGTATTCAATCTGGTACGAGTGCTTGGTCGTGACTTCTACGCCCTTGCTCGCCCCAAATGCGGCGGTTGCCTTACGGCCCCATGACTTGAACTCCGCTCCATGAGGATTGTTGCGCACTTCGCTAATCATAAAGGTGGTCAAATGGCAAAATTCATGCGCCAGTACGTTGTAGAGACGTTCTTCATCGTCAATGACCTTCTCTGCAAGCTCGATGGAGCAGTGGTGTCGGATCTCAGTGCGGGTGTCTGCCGATAGCGGGCCGGTGCGGACGCGAATCTGCTCTCTACGCCAATTCGCTCGGCCGGCTGTTGTTTTGAGTGTCTTGGACCAGACTAATTTTATGCCACCTGTCGATTTCGATAGTTCCTGGATGCGACCTGAAGCAATGGTGGTGTCGAGCTCTACCAAGAACGCTTCCGCAATGCTATGCTTCATCTCGGAAAACGCCTTGCGCTGTTCACGGATTTGCTTCACTGTCGGCGGTGCATCGACGTCGGGCGTCTTTGGCTTGGCTGTGCGACGTTTGGCAAGCTTCTTCTTAGGACTTTCGATGGGGCTTTCATAGCTTTCGTCACTGCTGTCATCCAGAGCAACCCCCTCCATCATCTTCACAATATCTTCGCGCCATTTCTGCTTCTTGGGCGAAACAATTGCCTTGGCTTGTGAGTGATGATCAGTCCATTCATTGACTGCTGCAGGATTCCAAAATGCATCGAGACTGGGTCTTCCATCTATATCAGCAGCTTTGGGAATTGCGAGCTTCTTCTTGGATGGAGAGACAAGCTTGGAAGGGCTCGCTGGTGCCAGGGGTGGTGTTCCTGGACGTTCAATAGGCGGGGCTTTGCAAGGTGAACGCTTTTTGGTAGGTGTTGGTGAGTAGGTAAGGATTGCAAAGGCCCCGTTCGAGGCGGAGCTTGTAGGACGTGATGATGCTGCGAAAGAACTTGACCGTGCGTGGGTGGGCTGTTGGAGAATGAAAGACTCCGGGGCCTCAGGTGAGTCGGTCATGTCAATGACGTCCTGCGCCCAATTCGATATTGTGCTGTGTCCTTTGCGATCTGGGGGCCGCATGGAGACCAGATCAGCTGGTTGTTGGGTAGGTACGGTGACTGGTTTCAGGTCTGGGATCTTGAAAGTTGGCGAACGAAACTCATTGACTAGCCGTGGAGGGCTGGCTTCACTTTCGTCGTCTTCACTATCTGAGACTACCCGTCGGGTCTGGGGTTGTCGCCGCCTAGTTTGAGCTGTCATGACGGGTTCTTCGTCTTCATCATCGTCATCGCTGATTTCGATAACTGGTTCGGCAGCCTCTTCTTGCATTTCAACATCCTCTTCGCCGCATAGAATGCTGGTCTCGGCCTCTTCTTCTGCCTCTTCAGCTTCTGCTTCCAACTCCTCTGCTTTCTTCAAGGGACTCTTGCTCCCTGGTCGTCGAGCAGCTTGCTGGACTTCTGCCTCTCCAAGAACATCAATCCTGCTCTTCTGTCCTTGTTTGTTCACCACGCTCCTTGCCAGGCTTGTGGCATACCGTAGTCGGTTCCTCTTCTCTAAGTCTGTATCCATCGTGCCACTGCGCTCTCTGCGCTCTCTTTGCTTTCTTTCCGGACTCGCTAAGCTCTCGTCACTCAGCTTTCGAAGCAGGCGACTGTTGCTCTCGACTGGTCGCAGGACTCGTTGCTTGCGCGGGGACAGTATGTCTTTGGGTAGGGTTGATTTTGCTGTGTGAAACGAATTTTCGATATCTTGCGATAGGCTGGCATCGCGCAATGCGCGCTTTGATGCTTTTGGTACGAGCATCGAGCTATCATCTTCCTCGAAAGAGGCGTACCTCAAGGTAGCCTTCCGGGGACTCATTCGTGTCGCGCTCGCCTCCGCTTGGGGCATAAAGATGGTGGGTTCATTTGGACTAGGTTTGCGTAGGCGTGCCATGTTTGCGGTATTCAGGTGGCGAATGTTGATAGAGATATCCAAAGTGCTGTGTTTGCAATTGGCTCAAGAATGTTGTTGTCGCATTGGTGGTCGGCTGTTGGAACTCTTGTCGATAATGTTTGTCATTGCCCGTTGTCCCGGCGACTAGCGGGGAACACGGACGCCGCAACCGTCAGGCCCCATTTGCGGCACAGGCCCGGAAAGGGCTGAAATGGATGTTCAAAGACGACAACACTCAGCAGACCACGTTACAGAAATTTGCTAAAGTCAAAAAATGTTCAAATACTTCTGCATCTTTAAAATCACAATTGCATACACCTGTTGTAATAACAAAAAATCATTCATACATTGCATGCTAACCGTCACAAGTACAAGTAAACCTATCCTCATTGAGCCTAGTAACCCGACAACGAAAGCTCCAAATGCGGCCATTCGTACAGTCGTTCAGCCCTCTCATGGTTATCCATCTTCCTCAGAGGCGGACTTCTTTTGTCCCGCTCGCTAGGCTTTCGGGGGACGTTCCGTCCTGCTGTATTTGCATCCCCAGTGGTGATTTTGTGGTGGTCCTGATTTTCATCTGAGCATTTACTGCTGGGAGTTCTTGGCCATGGTGTTAAGAGCGCTACCGTTCTTGAACCACTCAATCTGGCCCTCGTTGAAGGTGTGGGAGAGCTTGACCTCGAAAGGCTTGCTGCCATCGGCAGGGTGAACGGTCATGGTGAGGGGCTTGCCAGGGGCGAGCTCGGTGGAGGCCAAGTCAACACGGTCGTTGGGGCCAATCTTGTCATAGTCGGCAGGGTCAGAGAAGGTAAGAGGAAGCATACCCTGCTTCTTCAAGTTGGTCTCGTGGATACGAGCGAAGGAACGGGTGATGATGGCGGCACCACCCAAGTGCCTGGGCTCAAGGGCAGCGTGCTCACGGGAAGAACCCTCGCCGTAGTTCCAGTCACCAATGACAACCCATGGGATGCCGTTCTTCTTGTAGTCACGGGCAACATCGGGGACCGCGCCGTACTCGCCGGTGAGGGCGTTCTTGACCTTGTTGGCCTCGCCGTTCTCAGCGTTGATGGCACCAATCAACATGTTGTTGGAGATGTTGTCCAAGTGTCCACGGTACTTCAACCAGGGACCGGCCATGGAGATGTGGTCAGTGGTAGTCTTGCCCTGGCACTTGATGAGAATGGGTAGGTTCTTAGCGTCCTTTCCGTCCCAAGCAGAGAAGGGAGAAAGGAGCTGGAGACGGTCAGAGGTGGGAGACACGGCAACCTGGACGGAAGCACGGTCCTCGGGAGGAGCCTGGTAGGTGTCCCGGCCAGGGTCGTAACCGCTGGTGGGAAGACCCAAACCGGTGGGCTCCTTGAGCTTGAACTCCTTGCCGTCAGCTCCCTTCAGGGAATCTGTGAGAGGGTTGAATTTCAAAGTTCCAGCAATGGTCATGGCGACGACGAGGTCAGGAGAGGTGACGAAGGAGTGGGTGGCGGGGTTGGCGTCGTTGCGGCCAGTGAAGTTACGGTTGTACGAAGAGATGATGGAGTTGGCCTCGCCTAAGGCAGGTTAGCAGATGTGCAGCATAAGATGTGTGTAGTACATACCCTTCTTGACGTCCTTACGGTCCCACTGTGTAACGGTTAGTACATGCTGCTGTATAATGGAAATGAACGTGAGTAACTTACCTGACCAATGCAGGGACCGCAAGCGTTTGCGAGAACCATACCACCAAACTCCTCAAAGGTCTTGAGCTGACCATCGCGCTCAATGGTAGCGCGAATCTGCTCGGAACCAGGGGTGACAGTGAAGAGAGACTTGGCCTTGAGACCGTGGGACATGGCGTCCTCGGCGATGGAGGCAGCGCGGGTCATGTCTTCGTACGAAGAGTTGGTGCAAGAACCAATGAGACCGACCTTGAGCTCTTCGGGCCACTTGTTGGCCTCGACAGCCTCCTTGAACTTGCTGATGGGTGTAGCTAGATCGGGTGTGAAGGGACCGTTGATGTGAGGCTCAAGCTCGGAAAGGTTGATCTCGATGAGCTGGTCGTATTCGGCACCCTCATCCTCGCGGAGCTCCTTGGCGTAGTCGCGGGCAAAGTCACCAATTTGGCTACGCTTGGTAGCGGCGAGGTAGTCGTACATGCGGTCGTTGAAGGGGAAGACCGAGGTGGTAGCACCAATCTCGGCACCCATGTTACAGATGGTAGCCATACCAGTGCACGACAGGCTCTCGGTACCGGGTCCGTGGTATTCGACAATGGCACCGGTTCCACCCTTGACAGTCAGGATACCGGCGACCTTGAGGATAATGTCTGTGGTTGACGTTAGCGCGTGTTACCCCACTTGCAGTAAACAATGGCGAGTACGTACCCTTGGGAGCAGTCCAGCCAGAAAGCTTGCCAGTCAGCTTGACACCAATAACCTTGGGAGCCTTGAGTTCCCAGGGAAGACCGGCCATGACGTCGACAGCGTCGGCACCACCAACACCAATAGCGGCCATACCGAGACCACCAGCGTTGGGAGTGTGAGAGTCAGTACCGATGAGGAGAGCACCAGGGAAAGCGTAGTTCTCGAGCACAATCTGGTGGATGATACCAGAGCCGGGCTTCCAGAAACCAATGTTGTACTTTGCGCAAGAGGTGGACAAGAAGTTGTAGACCTCCTTGTTGATCTCGTTGGCGCGGGCCAAATCCTGCTCACCACCGACCTGGGCCTCGATGAGATGGTCGCAGTGGACGGTGGTAGGGGTAGCAACGGAGGGCATTCCAGCCGACATGAACTGGAGGATGGCCATCTGAGCAGTGGCATCCTGGCAAGCTACACGGTCGGGACGGAGCTTGAGGTAGCTGACACCACGCTCAATGTCTTGACCGTGAGGGTCGTCCAAGTGCGAGTAGAGAATCTTCTCGGCAAAGGTGAGAGGGCGGTTGAGACGAGAGCGGACAATGCCCAGGTTCTCGCTCATCTTCTGGTAGTTGATGTAGTGGCCCTTTTCCCAGTTGGTCATCTCGACCTTGCGGGAGAGGGCAGCATCGCTGACGGTGGCCAATTGCCTGCGCGAAGCAAGGCTCTGGCCCATGCGGCCGAGCCTCGAGAACTTCTGCATGGTGAAGATTGCAGAGGAGGGTGTGGAGGGAAGAGTGATGGAGGGAGCGGAGGAAAAGAAGGCCAGAAAGCTGGCGCAAGTTGGGCGATAACTAATAGCGATCACGAGCAGTGTGATTGGCTCGTTTAGCCCCAGCTGGGTGCGGAATACCTCGGCGCCAGAGCAAAAACAGGACGGCAGCTGCTTTCCCGCTGGGCCGTTTCACGTGCAAGGATGGTGGAGGACGAGGAGGGAATTATGGAGCCTGGAGCGTCTAGTCTGGTGTGCGACCTGGTGATTTATTGGGCCCTCGTTGGTGTGCGGCGACGGCGACGGCGACGGCGACGGCGACAATTGCAGCGACAAGGCGTGCGGGAGAGGGAGGGCGTTCACTCAGACGTCATATCCGGCGCCGGCAAAGCGACCCCGCGCCCAATTCTCGAGGCGCTGATTGGCGTCTGGCCATGGCACCACATGCGACGACGGCACAGAGCCATGCTGGAGCGCGACATTTCCGGGCCAACACTTTCACCCCCAGGCCTGCACACGCAGCAAATTTGGCTTTTGGCGCAACTGTAGCATTTGCCTGCCCCGCATCCGGCATAGCGCCACAGGACTTTCTGACCTGCAGACTCCCGCACGGGCCCCGCGCCGCTCCAGTCCCCACACTACCAACTCTGCCCATAGCCGACACCCATTCCCTAACGGATAACCGACGGCCGCGGATAAGCACTGCTCTGCACACAGCAACTATACCACACACACGCACCATGCCAGCCATACGCGGACAGGACTCGAAGAAAAAGACTCGCCGCCATACCCGCGACCTCGATCAGATCCACGCCGACCTGCGCGACGAAAAGCATCTCGCCGCCTTCAAGAATGAGAAGCCCATAGAGGACCTGCCCGGCCTGGGCCAGTACTACTGCAAGGAATGCGCAAAGTTTTTTGAGAGCGACGCCAACCTCGGCGCGCATCAGAAGGGCAAGGTGCATAAGCGGAGGTGAGACGCTTTGCTGAATATGCCGACATCGAGGCTGACAAGTCCAAGGGTCAAGCAATTGCGCGAAGAGCCATATTCGCAAAAAGAAGCAGAGGCGGCCATTGGCCTCACCACCAACAACGGAACCCGCACAACCGCTCCAGCAGCGCCCATGGAGGTCGATCAGGTCGCATCCGCTTGAGCATACTCATATCTAGCTCGCCGTCGAAACAGACGAGGTTGAAGGACACAGGTGGCGGTGGTGGTGGTCTACGAGCGTTAAAACGCCACGATACCAGGGAGACGGAATGCATTGCATGGCGTTCAAAATTGGGAAATGGAATATAGAGGGGGTCAAAAGTTTACACGATACCCCAAGTTTCAATAACACGCAAAGTTTCGCACTGGTGTTTGCAATTGCGACAATTGCACTGCTACTTAGTGCACGTGAAAGTTTGGTTTAAATTTTGTTCCTGCGAAACGCGAAGTCACATGTCCAAATTTTCCCTGATTTTCGTCCCACCATATCTGAGCTGAAAGCGTACAACTCAATGGCAAGCCATTGTCAGTGAAGACGCCACGGCCAGGCAGTCGCTGCGTCGACTGTAGGCAGGTAGGCATTCATGTTGGCGTGGTGCCTGAAAGCTGCCTGGTTAGTTACCTAAAACAGCCTTGTGCTCCCACCATCACCAACCAACACCAAACCCGTGACATAAAAAGCTAGTCATCACAACCCATATCCACAACATACAACCCCAGATCTCTACGGTTGAAGTATTACGAATTTGTCTCGTTTTATTACAGAATCCCGCCCTATAGAAAAAAAATCAGAAAGAGAAGAGTCATCAAAAAAACCACCCACAACCATGGACTTCAAATCCACCCCCCTCTACGGCGGCGCAATAACCGTCGACCTACCCTCCGACTACTCCGACGCCTCGTAAAC